ACTGTATTATATTCTATAATATTGTACTGTATCTTAGTCCATGCTGCTCTGTCATTGCTGTCCATATATGTATATATTCTTAAATTCCATTCCTTACTAGATTTTTGTATATAGGGTATATGTTGTGAAATTGTTAGATATTACTTGTTAGATATTACTGCACTGTCGGAGCTAGAAGCACAAGCATTTCGCTACACCCGCAATAACATCTGCTAAACACATGTATGTGACAAATAAAATGTGATTTGATTTGATTTAGACCGGTGGAAATGTGTCCTTTGGTCTGGAGTCCAAATTGGAGATTTTTGGTTCCAAACGTCGTGTCTTTGTGAGATGTGGTGTGGGTGAACGGATGATCTCCGCATGTGTAGTTCCCACCGTAAAGCATGGAGGAGGAGGTGTTATGGTGTGGGGGTGCTTTGCTGGTGACACTGTCTGTAATTTATTTAGAATTCAAGGCACACTTAACCAGCATGGCTACCACAGCATTCTGCAGCGATATGCCATCCCGTCTGGTTTGGGTTTAGTGGGACTGTCATTTGTTTTTCAACATGACAATGACCCAACACACCTCCAGTCTATTTTACCAAGAAGGAGAGTGATGGAGTGCTGCATCAGATGACCTGGCCTCCACAATCCCCTGACCTCAACCAAATTGAGATGGTTTGGGATGAGTCGGACCGCAGAGCGAAGGAAAAGCAGCCAACAAGTGCTCAGCATATGTGGGAACTCCTTCAGCACTGTTGGAAAAGCATTCCAGGTGAAGCTGGTTGAGAGAATGCCAAGAGTGTGCAAAGCTGTCATCAAGGCAAAGGGTGGCTATTTGAAGAATCTCAAATTTAAAATATATTTTGATTTGTTTAACACTTTTTTGGTTACTACATGATTCCATATGTGTTATTTCATAGTTTTGATGTCTTCACTATTATTCTACAATGTAGAAAATAGTAAAAATAAAGAAAAACCCTTGAATGAGTATGTGTTCTACTGCTTCTCTTTAATTATTTGTAATTTTTTACTTATCTATTTTTTACTTAACACTTATTTTTCCTAAAACTGCATTGTTGGATAAGGGATTGTAAGTAAGCATTTCACTGTACGGTCTACACCTGTTGTATGCGGCGCATGTGACAAATAAAATTTGATTTGATTTTTTTTGTTGATCTAAGAATGATCCAAGAGGGTCACTGTGGCCAGTGGGCGTCGCCTTGGTTTCTCAAGGGGGTAAGGGTTTAAGATCAACAGTCGCAAGGGTAGCCTTCCTCCTTGCACTCTCAACACTGTGCGAGCAACTTGCCACTCAACTCCATCACCAGGATCCTCCACCAAGGCATAACAGTCTTTGGAGGAGCTCCCTCCAACAGCAACTTCTCACTTCTAGCTGGGATCCCTTTGGGGTCACCATTGGACAGGCGTGCAGTACTTGGTCCCCACTCAGGCTCATCGGTCTGCATGACTCTTCTGCAGACACCAAAAGCATCCTGCCAATCCTTCCTGGCAGCTGCCTCCAAGGTGGCGTTGGACCCAGTGACACCCTGCGAGACGCCTTGGTACAGCTCCTTCCAGTATTGGGCTATAACATTCATTCCAATGATTCCTTGGTCTGCCCCCAGACAGTCATCCTTGACAATCACAACCCCCTTGGCTTGAACTTGCACTCCTCCCACAACAAAATCCTTGACCGCATAGCTGACATAAGGGATGTGTAGGCCATTGGCTGCCTTCAGCGTGAGCCAGTGGAGGTCTGTCGAGTTCTGCATGGGGAGATGGCCAAGCCACTTCTGAAATAAACTGAGACTGAACATCGTTACTTGGGACCCCGTATCTAACGTACATGGTATTTTTATTCCGCTTACCTCCAGTTCTACATGAGGGCAGTTTCCCACAACAGCAGACTTCTCAGGGCTTTCCTGCTGCCAGCGACTCAGCCTCATGACTAACCTGAGTGAATGTAATGTCATCCCTTACTTTCGCTGCGCATACTTTTGGAGCTCCTGTTTCAGAGGGCCCTCCTTTATACCTTTAATGAATTGGTTTCGAAGAGTTGATTCATCCTTGGCAGATCCGTCCAGTTCTGATTGGAGCCATCAAGAAGAAGCGGCACCGGAGAGTGGTTGTAGGGGTGAGGGTGCCAAACCGGTCCTGTAACGCAGCCCACGAAGAAGCAGGTGAGATCCTCTGGGCTTGACTAAACATGGTTTCTCTTTGCACGGCAATCTAGAGCCCCCATGATGAAATCAACATGCTGTTCTGCCAGTCCTTGCGCCCTCAATATGGCTTCGATTTGTGCCCGCCATTCCCCAAAGTTAACTCCACTACTCTCAGCAGAATATTTGGGAACCCAGGGTGAACACATGAACCAAGGCATTGGTACAGGAGTATACTGAGGTAGTGGGCCTGCCCCTGAAGGACTAGAGCCTTCTGCCCCCTGTGCTCCCTCCCCTAGTTGATCCATAGCCCCTATGTGCAAGAGAAGTGCACTTGGAGAAATCCTGACGACAACACCACTTAGAGGTGTCACAGTTTAGTGTCAACCCCTTTTTACACCAACAGGATTTAATGTTCTTCAGCACACAACCCCAACATAAAAGACCAGGACAGGTAAGTATGCTCAAGGTAAGTTTTATTTTAAATGAATGGGTTAACATGGATCAGACCCTGTTTTCCCACCTCCCACAGCAGATTGTACAATTGTACAAGGTAAATAGCGGGCATGCAAAAGTGACACTGCACACTGAATTATTCAGATATGGCACTGCAACAAGATAGTTATTTTAAGGGAAGACACTGCAAACAATATGGTGAAAGGCACTACAATCCCACTCTGGTGCAGCACACAACATGGGATCCACTCATGGCCCTGCCAACCCTCTACTGCTATGGGACAAAACAGGGAGGGGGAAAGTCAGCCAAGACAACATATAGAAAGGGAACCATATCCCCACAAAATAAAATAAACATCTGTATGGCGATATCCAGATCCGCACAGCTCCCTGTCCTGGAACACGCCAGGTCTGAGACTGCTTGGCAACGTCACCGATGGACCCACCTCTGCTGCTAAACGAGAGGAAGAGTGGCTTTCAGTGGCATGGCAAAATGGCCCAGAAAGAGTAGTGTAAGGGGAACACAGGAAGAATCATGTCCCTTATTTGCTGCCTCTCTCGGTCCTCTGCTCTTGGATCGCCACTCAGCTCCACAGCCCCAGTTCATCGTCAGCATAGCCGCCCATTTCCTCACTCGAATAAAGGAAATTACAGCCAATCCCCAGCTACCTGTCTGATTAGCCAACTCACTGCATGTGCGTCTGGTCACACCAGCCCCGCCACCCACGTATCCACTTATCTACCAATCCATCTCGTGACAATCACACCCAACATATTTTATTCATTCAGAGAACAAAATGTTGATGTTAAAATCTAATCAATCAGTTTTGGTTTCACCACACCACCACTATCTCAGTAGTGCAGTCAAAGTATTTTATTTCATTTGTGGTAAAGGATTGTCTCATCAGAGTTAATACTGAGTTTCTTTAACAATGAAGCCTCTGTATTACAGTCTTGATTTATGAGCAGTTAACGTTGATCCTGTGATCTGTTGTTTTACAGAAAGATGACCAAAGCCTCGCATCTCCTACACATGGGAACTAGGACACATCCAAGCCTGCTCCGAGTATCCTTCCTAGTCCTTCTTCTTCATGCAGCCATAGGTGAGGTCTTATTATAGGGTAAATCCATTTGAAATCAATCACTTTTTGACAGCATCCCTTTTGATTTAAACAAAACTTTCCAAACATGTTTGCCCATTGCAAAAATGGCCAGAAAGTAACTTTTTGGACCTGAATGGCAAAACATTCAGAAGATAAAGGTGCTCACAGTTGACCCATTTTTTATACCCCATCATACCATGAGACATCCATGTCTTCATCACTGGAAAAGATAATCGGTTAAGTTTGCTATCATTTAAAAGCTTACAAACAGTGTTAAACTATTTTATAATTTATTTTATTTAAAAATGCGTAAACACTATTTCACATAATCTGAGGTTTTTGTGTTGTGCCCGCCATCGGTTGAGCCACAATATGCTCTTGAATGTCGTTTCAAAAATAGATATAGAATTCATAGAATGGACCTATCCCTTCAGACCACTGCAATTTAGCTGGTACACCATTGACATTTAAATTTAATTGAAATGTTAACTTCTAATTACTACCACAAAGATGGCTGCCTGTCCACCCATTGTCGAATTTGAACTTAAATGGCCATGTCTATTCTATGATCTATATTTCTATGATTTCAATAGGTTTCATATGGAGGATTGACGGTATAATTTAAAACAACAAATATTCCCATTCAAGTCAACATTCTCTGATGTGTGGACCTCCAACCATCTTTGTGGTAACATTTGAAAGTTTACATTTCGATTTTACTCCCCTTTTAGTACATTAATCAGCCAAAACGTGACACCCACCCTGTATTCAAGAGCATGTTGTGTCTCAGCTGATGGCGAGCACAACACAAAAACCTCAGATCATGTAAAATACAGTCTAAGCTACAACATATGCAATATTTAAAAAATCTAAGTTGACACATTTTTAGATAATTAACGTTAAAGGTTTAAAATCGTTTGACAACCCTGTTTGTAAGCTTTTAAATTGTATCAATCTCAACCGTTTATCTTTTCCACTGATGAAGACATGGATGTGGTGGGGTATACATAATGGTTAAACATTTAGCACCTTTATCTCTTGAATGATTTGGCATTTAGGTCCAAAAAGTCACTTTCTGAGCACTTCTTGTAGCATAGTTTCTTATGTTGTCATTAAGTTTCATGCTGACTGATGTTGAATTCTCTGTTTCTGTTCTCAGGACATTCGTTTGCACAAAGTTTTCCATCTTCACCCTCTCCACCCTCTCCTTCATCATTAACACCTCCTTCGCTCTCTGCAGCCTCTGGCCCACCTCCTCCACCATCTGCCCCACCCCCTTCCCTATCTGCCCCACCCCCTTCCCTATCTGCCACAAGCCCTTTGTCCTCACCTCCACCAAATGCACCGCTTAAAACAACAACCATACCAACTACACCAAATACTACCATATCAACTAAAACTACCGCACCTTCTACACCAAATACAACCACAACAACTACTTCAACCACAACAACTACACCAACTACATCCACATCAACCACAACCATATCAGCTACAACAACCACATCTACCACAACATCCACCACCCAAAGTACTATAGCATCAACCATGTCACATACTAACACAACAACTACACCATATCCAACCACATCAGCTACAACCACAACACCTGCAGCTCCATCAACCATACCATTCACAGCTACGTTAACCACCACTTACATTTCTTCATCTAACACTCGAAACACATCAACAGTCATGGTGCCCACGTCTAATGCAGCAGCATCAAATGCATCCACCATCCCACCCCCACCCCCCACATCACTCACAACCCCTCACCCAACACCACTGCACACCGCCTCATCCAACATGACTAGTGGACCAATGACGTCCACCATGCCATCTCCATCCACTTCCTCTACGCTGCACTCAACCTCACCCATCATTCGGTCCACTGCTAACAGTAAGTTAGATCATCCTTACTACAGTAGTCTATGTTAAAATATGAGAATTCAACTACATTCATTGTACTGTACAGACTCAGCATGCTAATGGCTCCTGGCTCTCCATTTCAGTGACCTCTATAAATGCCACATCACCGGGACACTCCACGCCTTTACAAACAACAGTCACCTCTAACGTCACTACAGGTAAGTCAACAGCCTCAGTAATGGTGGAGGGGTGTAACACAATGAGTAATCATATGATTTATGGCAGATTATGTCTTAGTATAATAGAGGTGTTTGTGTGGAGCTACAGTGCTTTCAGAAAGTATTCACACCCCTTGAATTATTCCACATTTTGTTGTGTTACAGCCTGAATTCAAAATGACATTTACATAAGTATTCACACCCCTGAGTCAATACTTTGTAGAAGCACCTTTGGCAGTGATTACAGCTGTGAGCCTTTCTGGGTAAGTCCCTAAAAGCTTTCCACACCTGGATTGTGCAACATTTTCCCATTATTCTTTTCAGAATTCTTCAAGCTTTGTCAAATTGGTTGTTGACTGTGCTTAATTTGAGCCTGTTCCGGAACAGGATCCGGCACCTCTCAGATTGTTCATTCAGGCACCTATTTGCCTGGACCCGGTACCTCTCGCGGCAGTTTGAGGACTATTTTCAAGTCCAGACATACTCGGGGGGGGGGGGGGGGGGGGGGGGGGGGGACGACGACGACTGTGCATCCACCGACGAAATGCTCGGAGCAGGTGCAATTTGCAGATCAAATGTTTTGTCAATGCGCCGAATACAACAGGTGTAGACCTTACCGTGAAATGCTTACAAGCCCTTAACCAACAATGCAGTTCAATAAATAAAGTTAAGAAAATATTTACTAAATAAACTAAAGTAAAAAATAAAAAGTAACACAATAAAATTGCATAACAATAACAAGGCTATATACAGGGGGTACCTGTGCCGAGTCAATATGCGGGAGTACAGGTTAGTCGAGGTAATTTAGGTAATTTGTACATGTAGGTAGGGGTAAAGTGACTATGCATAGATAATAAACGGTGAGTAGCAGCAGTGTAAAAACAAAGGGGGGTCAATGTAAATAGTCCGGGTGGACATTAATTGTTCAGCAGTCTTAAGGCTTGGGGGTGGAAGCTGTTAAGGAGCCTTTTGGACCTAGACTTGGTGCTCCGGTACCGCTTGCCGTGCGGTAGCAGAGAGAACAGTCTATGACTTGGGTGACTGGAGTCTTTGACAATTTTTTGGGCCTTCCTCTGACACCGCCTAGTATATAGGTCCTGGATGGCAGGAAGCTTGGTCCCAGTGATGTATTGGGCCGTACGCACTACCCACTGTAGCGCATTTCGGTCGGATGCTGAGCAGTTGCCATACCAGGCAGTGATGCAACCGGTCAGGATGCTCTCGATGGTGCAGCTGTAGAACTTTTTGAGGATCTGTGGACCCATGCCAAATCTTTTCAGTCTCCTGAGGGGGAAAAGGTGTTGTCGTGCCCTCTTCACGACTGTCTTGGTGTGTTTGGACCATGATAGTTTGTTGGTGATGTGGACACCAAGGAACTTGAAACAGCCCCGTCAATGTTAATGGGGGCCTGTTCAGCCCTCAATTCCTGTAGTCCACGATCATCTCCTTTGTCTTGCTCACATTGAGGGAGAGGTTGTTGTCTCTGACCTCCTCCCTATAGGCTTTCTCATTTCTTTTGATGATCAGGCCTACCACTGTTGTGTCGTCAGCAAACTTAATGATGGTGTTGGAGTCGTGCTTGAACACGCAGTTGTGGGTGAACAGGGAGTACAGGAGGAGACTGAGCACACACCCCTGAGGGGCCCCGGTGTTGAGGATCAGCGTGGCAGATGTGTTGTTGCCTACCCTTACCACCTGGTGGCGGCCCGTCAGGAAGTCCAGGATCCAGTTGCAGAGGGAGGTGATTAGTCCCAGGGTCCTTAGCTTAGTGATGAGCTTTGTGGGCACTATGGTGTTGAATGCTGAGCTGTAGTCAATGAACAGCATTCTCACACAGGTGTTCCTTTTGTCCAGGTGGGAAAGGGCAGTGTGGAGTGCGATTGAGATTGTGTCATCTGTGGATCAGTTGGGGCGGTATGCGAATTCGAGTGGATTTAGGGTTTCCGGGATGATGGGCCTCCTGTAGCTCAGTTGGTAGAGCATGATGGGCCTCCTGTGGCTCAGTTGGTAGAGCATGGCGCTTGCAACGCCAGGGTTGTGGGTTCGATTCCCACGGGGGGCCAGTATGAAAAATGTATGCACTCACTAACTGTAAGTCGCTCTGGATAAGAGCGTCTGCTAAATGACTAAAATGTAAAATGTATTGATGGTGTCGATGTGAGCCATGACCAGCCTTTCAAAGCACTTAATGGCTACCGACGTGAGAGCTACGGCGCGGAAGTCATTTAGGCAGGTTACCTTCGCATTCTTGGGCACAGGGACTATGGTGATCTGCTTGAAACATGTAGGTATTACAGACTCGGTCAGGGAGAGGTTGAAAATGTCAGTGAAGACACTTGCCAGTTGGTCAGCGCATGCTCTGAGTACTCGCCCTGGTAATCTGTCTGGCCCAGCAGCCTTGTGAATGTTGACCTGTTTAAAGGTCTTACCCACATCGGCTACGGAGAGTGTGATCACTCAGCTGGTGCTCTCTTGCATGCTTCAGTGTTGCTTGCCTCGAAGCTAGCATGAAAGGCATTTAGCTCGTCTGGTAGGCTCACGTCACTGGGCAGCTCGCGGCTGGGTTTCCCTTTGTAGTCCATAATAGTTTGCAAGCCCTGCCACATCCGACGAGCGTCAGAGCTGGTGTAGTAGGATTCAATCTTAGTCCTGTATTGACGCTTTGCCTGTTTGATGGTTCGTCTGAGGGCATTGCTGGATTTCTTATAAGCATCCGGATTAGTGTTCAGCTCCTTGAAAGTGGCAGCTCTAGCCTTTAGCTCGGTGCGGATGTTGCCTGTAATCCATGGCTTCTGGTTGGGATATGTACATACTGTCACTGTGGGGACGACGTCATCAATGCACTTATTGATGAAGCCGGTGGCTAAGGTGGTATACCCCTCAATTCCATTGGATGAATCACGGAACATATTCCAGTCTGTGCTAGCAAAACAGTCCTGTAGTGTAGCATCCATGTCATCTGACCACTTCCGTATTGAGCGAGTCACTGGTACTTCCTGCTTTAGTTTTTGCTTGTAAGCAGGAATCAGGAGGATAGAATTATGGTCAGATTTGCCAAATGGAGGGCGAGGGAGAGCTTTGTATGCGTCTCTGTGTGTGGAGTAAAGGTGGTCTAGAGTTTTTTTTCCTCTGGTTGCACATGTTGACATGTTGGTAGAAATGAGGTCAAACGGATTTAAGTTTCCCTGCATTAAAGTCCCCGGCCACTAGGAGCGCCGCTTCTGGATGAGCATTTTCTTGTTTGCTTATGGCCTTACACAGCTCGTTGAGTGCGGTCTTAGTGCCAGCATCTGTTTGTGGTGGTAAATAGACGGCCACGAATAATATAGATGAGAACTCTCTTGGTAGATAGTGTGGTCTACAGCTATTATCATGAGGTACTCTACCTCAGGCGAGCAATACCTCGAGACTTCTTTAATATTAGACATCGCGCACCAGCTGTATTGACAAATAGACACACACCCCCACCCCGTAGCTGCTCTGTCTTGCCGATGCACGGAAAACCCAGCCAGCTCTATATTATCTGTGTCGTTGTTCAGCCACGACTCGGTGAAACATAAGATATTACAGTTTATTAATGTTCCGTTGGTAGGATAGTTTGTTTTCCAATGATTGCACGTTGGCCAATAGAACCGATGGTAATGAAGATTTACTCACTCGCCTACGAATCCTAACAAGGCACCCCGACCTTCTCCCTCTGTATCTCCACCTTTTCTTTTTGGGCCTGGTCTCCGGAGAGCAGTATATCCTTCGCGTCGGACTCATTCAAGAAAAAATATTTGTCCAGTTCGAGTTGAGTAATCGCTGTTCTGATGTCCAGAAGCTCTTTTCGGTAATAATAGACAGTAGCAGCAACTTTATGTACAAAATAAGCTACAAACAATGCGTAAAAATAAACAAAAAATAGCCCGTAAAACGGCAGCCATCCCCTCCGGTGCCATTATTATAACCCCTGGCTTGTCATGCAGAATTCGTAAAAATAGAACAACAAAGAGCCCTCAGAAAAAAGGTTTTTGAACATGCCTTGGAGAGTGCTGTCCATTTCACCACCATAGATAGTAGGCTACTTGGAGAGTGCTGTCCGTTTCACCACCATAGATAGTAGGCTACTTGGCTGTTTACTCTGTCTGCTGCTCTGCTACGTTGTGTTTGTCACTTATTTTCTCAATGTTTTCTGGTTCCTCAGAGCCCCATGGATAACCCCCCATTCTCGCGCTCACTATGTGTTCTGGGACCTCCCAATTTATAACCAATTTCAGGTCTTGCCATAGATTTTCAAGTAGATTTAATTCAAAATTGTAACTCGGACACTCAGGAACATTCACTTTCTTCTTGGTAAGCAACTCCATTGTATATTTGGCCTAGTGTTTTAGGTTATTATCCTGCTGAAAGGTAAATTAATCTCTCAGTGTCTGGTGGAAAGCAGGCTGAACCAGGTTTTCCTCTAGGATTTTGCTGGTGCTTAGCTCCATTCCATTTCTTTTTTATCCTGAAAAACTCCCCAGTCCTTAACGGTTACAAGCATACCCATAACATGATGCAGCCACCACTATGCTTGAAAATATGGCGAGTGGTACTCAGTAATATGGATTTGCCCCAAACATAACACTTTGTATTCAGGACAAAAAGTGAATTGCTTTGCCAAATTTTTTGCAGTATTACTTTAGTGCCTTGTTGCAAACAGGATGCATGTTTTGGAATATTTTTATTCTGTACAGGTTTCCTTCTTTTCACTCTATCAATTAGTATTGTGGCGTAAATGCAATGTTGTTGATCCATCCTCAGTTTTCTCCTATCACAGCCATTAAACTCTGTAACTGTTTTAAAGTCGCCATTGGCCTCATAGTGAAATCGCTGAGCGATTTCCTTCCTCTCCGGCAACTGAGTTAGTAAGGACGCCTGTATCTTTTGTAGTGACTGGGTGTATTGATACCCCATCCAAAGTATAATTAATAACCTCACCATGCTCAAAGAGATATTCAATGTCTGCTTTTTTTATTTTTACACATCTACCCTTCTTTGCGAGGCATTGGAAAACCTCCCTGGTCTTTGTGGTTGAATCTGTGTTTGAAATTCACTGCTCGACTGAGGGACCTTACAGATAATTGTATGTGTGGGGTACAGAGATGAGGTAGTCATAAAAAAATTGTGTTAAACACTATTGTTGCACACAGAATGAGTCCATGCAACATATTATGGGACTTTTTAAGCACATTTTACTCCTGAACTTATTTACGCTAGCCATACTTATTGAATACTTATTGGCTCAAGACATTTCAGCTTTTCATTTTTTATTAATTTGTAAAAATGATTGTGTGAAAGCCAGAGACCAAAAAATCTCAATTTAATCCATTTTAAATGCAGCCTGTAACACAAAGAAATGTGGAAAAAGTCAAGGGGTGTGAATACTTTGTGAAGGCACTATAAGTGTTGCATTGGTTTGCCTCATGGTTATGTGTGCACTGATCGTCACCTATCTCTTCTCCCATCTCTGTTTCAGAGCCAGCAAAGGTGCATTGCAACTTCTCACAGCTCTGTGCCAATCAGTGTAAGTTGAATGAATCATGCTTATAATATGAATATATTATATTGCTGCATTAGTCTCTCATGTCCACTGTTATTTTGTTACGTTATAGCCTTATTCTCAAATTGATTAATTTATATATATTTTTCTCATCCATCTACACACAGTACCCCATAATGACAAAGCAAAAACAGAAATATCACATTTACATAAGTATTCAGACCCTTTACTCAGTACTTTGTTGAAGCAGCGATTACAGCCTCGAGTCTTGGGTATGACGCTACAAGCGTGGCACACCTGTATTTGGGGAGTTTCTCCCATTCTTCTCTGCAGATCCTCTAAAGCTCTGTCAGGTTGGATGGGGAGCGTCGCTGCACAGCTATTTTCAGGTCTCTAGAGATGTGTTAGATCTGGTTCAAGTCCGGGCTCTGGCTGGGCCACTCAAGGACATTCATAGACTTGTCCCGAAGCCACTCCTGTGTTGTCTTGGCTGTGTGCTTAGGGTTGTTGTCCTGTTGGAAGGTGAACCTTCGCCTCAGTCTGAGGTCCTGAGTGCTCTGGAGCAGGTTTTCATCAAGGATCTCTCTGTACTTTGCTCCGTTCATCTTTCCCTCGATCCTGACTAGTCTCCCAGACCCTGCCGCTGAAAAATATCCCCACAGCATGATGCTGCCACCACCATGCTTTACCGTAGGGATGGTATTGGCATTCAGGCCAAAGAGTTAAATCTTGGTTTCATCAGACCAGAGAATCTTATTTATCATGGACTGAGAGTCCTTTAGGTGCCTTTTGGCAAACTCTAAACGGGCTGTCATGTGTATTTTACTGAGGAGTGGCTTCCGTCTGGCCACTCTACCATAAAGGCCTGATTGGTGGAGTGCTGCAGAGATGGTTGTCCTTCTGGAAGGTTCTCCCATCTCCACAGAGGAACTCTGGAGCTCTGTCAGAGTGACCATCGGGTTCTTGGTCACCTCCCTGACCAAGGCCCTTCTCCCCCGATTGCTCAGTTTGGACGGGTGACCAGCTCTAGGAAAAGTCTTGGTGGTTCCAAACTTCTTCCATTTAAGAATAATGGAGGCCATTGTGTTCTTGGGGACCTTCAATGCTGCAGAAATTCTTTGGTACCCTTCCCCGTATCTGTGCCTTGACACAATCCTGTCTCTGAGCTCTACGGACAATTCCTTAGACCTCATGGCTTGGTTTCTGCTCTAACATGCACTGTCAACTGTGGGACCTTATATAGACATGTGTGTACCTTTCCAAATCATGTCCAATCAATTGAATCTACCACAGGTGGGCTCCAATCAAGTTGTAGAAACATCTCAAGGATAATCTATGGAAACAGGATGCACCTGAGCTCATTTTCGAGGCTCATAGCAAAGGATCTGAATAATTAAGTGAAAAACATTTGCAAAGATTTCTAAAAACCTGTTTTCTCTTTGTCATTATGAGGTATTGTGTGGAGGAAAAAGTTTAATTTAATCAATTTTAGAATAAGGCTGTAACGTAATAAAATGTGGAAAAAGTGAAGGTGTTTGAATAATTTCCGAATGCACTGTATATTATTTATGTTTGAACTGCATGTTTAATTGATTGATTGTTTGATTGATTATACACTAAACAAAAATATAAACGTAACATGTAAAGTGTTGGTCCCATGTTTCATGAAATGAAATAAAAGATCCCAGAAATTTTCCATACACACAAAAAGCTTGTTTCTCTCAAATTGTGTGCACAAATTTGTTTACATCCCTGTTAGTGAGCATTTCTCCTTTGCCAAGATAATCCATCCACCTGACAGGTGTGGCATATCAAGAAGCTGATTAAACAGCATGATCATTACACAGGTGCACCTTGTGCTGGGGATATATATATATATATATATATATATATATATACAGTGGGGGAAAAAAGTATTTAGTCAGCCACCAATTGTGCAAGTTCTCCCACTTAAAAAGATGAGAGAGGCCTGTAATTTTCATAAAAGGTACACGTCAACTATGACAGACAAATTGAGAAAAGAAAATCCAGAAAATCACATTGTAGGATTTTTTATGAATTTATTTGCAAATTATGGTGGAAAATAAGTATTTGGTCAATAACTAAAGTTTCTCAATACTTTGTTATATACCCTTTGTTGGCAATGACACAGGTCAAACGTTTTCTGTAAGTCTTCACAAGGTTTTCACACACTGTTGCTGGTATTTTGGCCCATTCCTCCATGCAGATCTCCTCTAGAACAGTGATGTTTTGGTGGCTGTCGCTGGGCAACACGGACTTTCAACTCCCTCCACAGATTTTCTATGGGGTTGATATCTGGAGACTGGCTAGGCCACTCCAGGACCTTGAAATGCTTCTTACGAAGCCACTCAGGCGGTGTGTTTGGGATCATTACGTTGCCCAGGCGGTGTGTTTGGGATCATTGTCATGCTGAAAGACCCAGCCACGTTTCATCTTCAATGCCCTTGCTGATGGAAGGAGGTTTTCACTCAAAATCTCACGATACATGGCCCCATTCATTCTTTCCTTTACACGGATCAGTCGTCCTGGTCCCTTTGCAGAAAAACAGCCCCAAAGCATGATGTTTCCACCCCCATGCTTCACAGTAGGTATGGTGTTCTTTGGATGCAACTCAGCATTCTTTGTCCTCCAAACACGATGAGTTGAGTTTTTACCAAAAAGTTCTATTTTGGTTTCATCTGACCATATGACATTCTCCCAATCCTCTTCTGGATCATCCAAATGCACTCTAGCAAACTTCAGACGGGCCTGGACATGTACTGGCTTAAGCAGGGGGACACGTCTGGCACTGCAGGATTTGAGTCCCTGGCGGCGTAGTGTTTTTACTGATGGTAGGCTTTGTTACTTTGGTCCCAGCTCTCTGCAGGTCATTCACTAGGTCCCCCTGTGTGGTTCTGGGATTTTTGCTCACCGTTCTTGTGATCATTTTGACCCCACGGGGTGAGATCTTGCGTGGAGCCCCAGATTGAGGGAGATTATCAGTGGTCTTGTATGTCTTCCATTTCCTAATAATTGCTCCCACAGTTGATTTCTTCAAACCAAGCTGCTTACCTATTGCAGATTCAGTCTTCCCAGCCTGGTGCAGGTCTACAATTTTGTTTCTGGTGTCCTTTGACAGCTCTTTGGTCTTGGCCATAGTGGAGTTTGGAGTGTGACTGTTTGAGGTTGTGGACAGGTGTCTTTTATACTGATAACAAGTTCAAACAGGTGCCATTAATACAGGTAACGAGTGGAGGACAGAGGAGCCTCTTAAAGAAGAAGTTACAGGTCTGTGAGAGCCAGAAATCTTGCTTGTTTGTATGTGACCAAATACTTATTTTCCACCATAATTCGCAAATAAATTCATTAAAAATCCTACAATGTGATTTTCTGGATTTTTTTTCCTCAATTTGTCTGTCATAGTTGACGTGTACCTATGATGAAAATTACAGGCCTCTCTCATCTTTTTAAGTGGGAGAACTTGCACAATTGGTGGCTGACTAAATACTTTTTTCCCCCACTGTATATATATATATATATATATATACAATAAATGGCCTATCAAGAAGCTCAACAGGGTCTTGACCTGACTGCAGTTCGGCCTCGTAAACGTCTTCAGTGGACAAATGCTCACCTTCAATGGCCACTGGCACACTGGAGAAGTGTGCTCTTCATAGAGGAATCCCAGTGTCAGCTGTACCGGGCAGATGGCAGACAGCGTTTATGGCATCGTGTGGGCGCGCGGTTTGAAGAGGAGTGTGACAACATTCCACAGGCAACAAACAACAGCCTGATCAACACTATGCTAAGGAGATTTGCATGAGACAAATGGTGGTCACACCAGATACTGACTGGTTTTCTGATCCACGTCCCCTATTTCTTTTTTTGAGTGGGGGGTATCTGTGACTAACAGATGCATATCTGTATTCCCAGTCATATGAAATCCATAGAGTAGGGCCTAATTAAAAATGTTCTATAGACTTATTTCCTTATATGAACTGTAACTCATTAAAATCTTTGAAATTGTTGCATGTTGCGTTTATATTCAGTGTATAATATGAATTTGACATGTGCAATGAAATCTAATTTAATGTGTATGTCTTACAGCCGTGTACTACTGGATGGTCCTTGCTGTGGACGTGACTGGAGACCTGAAGAGTGAATCAGACATCAGTGACTGGGTAGGTCACAGGACTGTGAATGATTCTTAAATGACTGATGTGTAATGAATTGTTTCGAAACTGTACATTTGTTTAGTAATACATCAAACGTGACAGCACTGTTTACCTTTTTCAGCTCTGCGATCTATTTCATACTCACTTGGACACCTGTGAGCCCTACAAACCTGAACAATCAAATGGCACAAACTCGACAGACACACTGCGAACCACCTCAGTCAGTCCAACATATCCCACCCCCTACAACATGACAACACGGTTATACAACTTCACCATAACAACACCATCCCAGAACTTCACCACGACAACACCAACACTGAACTACAGCTCGACCCTCTCACACAACTTCAGCATGACAGCCTTGACAACAAACATGACAACCATGCTTTACAATCATAGTATTACTACTCATTCACACAACCATAGCATGACTACCACACTCTACAACCATAGCATGACTACACCATCACAAAACCACAGCATGACAACTCATTCTCCCAGCTATACCATGTCTGCCAACTGGCCACATAGCACCACTAGGTAAAGTATTCAGTCACATGTCATTATTGTTCATTAATGAATATACAGTAGATGTGCAGAATATGATGTTTGAATATCAAAACATTAATCTCTTCTAAGCTAACTCTGTTCATTAATTGTTTGTTCTGCAGTAAAGAGCACAAAGGTGGAAATAGGACTGCTGCCAGCCTGTTTCAAGTAAGACTAGATCTCTCTCCAGACAAACCTGCCTCAATGTGCATGTGAACATTAGAGGGTACTTTTGCTTTTTCTGTGAAAGTATGTGAGTTGAATCAAAACTCTTATCTTTACAGGACATTGAAGTGACATGCGTCAATAATAAAACAAAGATCAGGTTTGTTGAAAGACTAATTTCAATACTACAGTTCAGCATCCTCTGTCTCGCTCCACGTCTTAATACTGCCCCCTATCCCTCCAGGAGGACTAACTGCACTGTGCTGCTGAAGCTGAGGAAGCCCACATTTCCCTGTTGTGTCCAGCGGGCCCTGTGGTTGGCTGCGGAGAACAGCCCCATACAAGCCTATATTGTGGGAAATAGAGTGGAGAGAGTGGGTGAGTGACACTGACCCTAATGTGAATCTGAAATGTCTCACAGAAATGTAAATGTCCTTATCAGAGCCTCACGTCTGTTGCTTGTTGGTTGTAGCTAAGGGTCTGTGTCATAGTGCAGGCCAACTGCCTCCAAGTAATGGTTTTGCGAAGTGCAATGGCTCGCTCAATGGCACCCTCCCTCTCCCAAACACTTGTCAGTCTCCAGGGCCTGTCAATATCTCATGGTAAGCTGGATATCACTCTGGAAAAGTAAATACTATGCTGTTATTTCTGTGTTTGTAGAATCTCTATAGAATAAATAGTGTATCCATCTTCTCATATGAACATGTTTTATCTTACAGTGGACATGCAGGGACTGTTTATGTACCTCTTGGGAATCAAACCCAAATGAACTGTGGCAAGCCCCCTAAACCCCCCATTGGTAAAAACAATTTGATTTACCCATGTGATAATACTCATTATCCACATTTACACTGGCAGACAAATTAATTTGCCATTTCAACCTTCAGTGGGTTTTTAAAACACATATCTGTCTGTATCTTGATAAGTATCGTACTCCTGCTTTTCAGGGGTGATGATTTTCTGCAACTGCTCTGCTTATTGCTATGGTACAGGTAAGTGAAATATTAAAAAAATCAACTGATAAGTTCACTGATACTGTGATGGACCCACTACACTTTTTAATCTCCCACCATGTGATAACTCTCTCTCCCTCCCTCTCATTTTAGCTGCATACTACACCTTGGACATACAGATCACAGATTCTGCTATACACATTTCACACATCGTCAATCTGGTGAGTTAGTGCAGATATGCATATACAGGTAACTGCCAAAATAAATGAGGGATAAAAAGTGTATTGAAAGCAGGTGCTTCCACACAGGTGTGGTTCCTGAGTTAATTAAGGACTCAACATCCCATCATGCTTAGGGTCATGTATAAAAATGCTGGGCAGGCCATTATTTTGGCTCCCATGGCTATGCCCCCATAGGATGACAATGCCCCCATCCACAGGGCACAAGTGGTCACTGAATGTTTGATGAGCATGAAAACGATGTAAACCATATGCCATGGCCGTCTCAGTCCCCGGATCTCAACCCAATTGAAAACTTATGGGAGATTCTGGAGCAGCGCCTGAGACAGCGTTTTCCACCACCATCAACAAAACACCAAATGATGGAATTTCTTGTGGAAGAATGGTGTCTCATCCCTCCAATAGAGTTCCTGACACTTGTAGAATCTATACCAAAGTGCATTGAAGCTGTGCTGGCCCAACGCCCTATTAAGACACTTTTTGATGCTGTTTTCTTTATTTTGGCAGTTACCTGTATGAGTGTGTGTGTGTGTGTGTGTGTGTGTTTGTGTGTACGTGCACTGTCTGTGTGCATGCATATACACTGAGTGTACAAAACATTGGGAACGCCTTCCTAATATTGAGTTGCACCCCATTTTGCCCTCAAGAACTGCCTCAATTTGTCGGGGCATGGACTCTACAAGATGTTGAAAGCATTCCACAGGGATGCTGACTCATGTTAACTCCAATGCTTCCCACAGTTGTGTCAAGTTGGCTGGATGTTCTTTGGGTGGTGGACCATTCTTGGGAAACACACACGGAAAACTGTTGAGCGTGAAAAACCCAGCAGCGTTGCAGTTCTTGACACACTCAAACCGGTGTGCCTGGCACCTACTACCATACCCCGTTCAAAGGCACTTCAATCTTTTGTCTTATCCATTCACCCTTTGAATGGCACACATACACAATCCATGTCTCAATCGTCTCAAGGCTTAAAAATCTACACTGATTGAAATGGATTTAACGAGTGACATCATTAAGGAATCATAGCTTTCACCTGGATTCACCTGGTCATTCTATGTCATGGAAAGAGCAGGTGTTCCTAATGTATTGTACACTCAGTGTATATGTGTGTGTGTTTAAAACCTAAGCTACCAGCCTTTATTAATTCCTTTTTCATTCATTCCTTCCCCAGGTTGATCAGCTAAAAAATCCACGACCCTGCCACAACATCTCAGTGTATTTCCTAATTTCTTCATCTGTTTTAATACAGTTTTACATTTACATTTTAGCAGACGCTCTTATCCAGAGCGACTTACAGGAGCAATTAGGGTTAAGTGCCTTGCTTAAGGGCACATCGACAGATTTTTCACCTTGTCGGCTCGGGGATTAGAACCAGCGACCTTTCGGTTACTGGCACAACGCTCTTACCCACTAAGCTACCTGTTTTCTCTCTGCTTATTGTCAATATGCTCACACTTTCTAATTAGATCATTACAGCCTTAATGAGCCCCAACAGTACCTATAGCACCATACCTTCCCACACCACGTTTGATATTTTGACATAATTCTCTGTTACAGTCCCCCTTGTCCTCTGCCCATCATATCAACTATCTATCAGGTAATTTTGCATTGCGTTAATAACCCAACCCCACAATGAACTCTCATTGTTTTATGTTGCACTGCAAATGAACCATATGCTAACTTATTGTCACACACTCGTGGTGTGACATAAATTGAGACCTTATGACCTATTCAGAGTTGTTTTCCCACAGTCTGTTCATGTGGAATGCGTTGGCACAGAGACAAAGTGAGTTCCCATAATCCTTGCAGGCACAAAACCTTTACATTACATTCAAGACAGCCGCCCTCGATGTGCAGTGACGATGGTCTTAATACTTATTAATAACTATACTATTACTGTTTTCTTACCAGTCTCCGAAACTGCAGTGTTATCGTGTGCCTTGACCATTCGGTGCCTATATGTGCAGTCAGTATTGCATTGATGAATGTGTTCAATGATGAGCATGATATTGACTATGATGGAAAGGTGACGCGAGCGGGTGAGTAGCCCTACCATGGAAACTGGAGGCAGAGGGCATCTGTGTCGTTATTCATATACATTATACAATATGTGTCTGGCTGTTTGTTTGTGTTCATATATCTCACACAGGAATTTGTAGCTGGCCAGGATTCAGTGGAGATCTATTGAATTCGACCTTCAGCTCAGCGAAGAGCAGCCTCAACCACTCTGAGTTCTGTGAGGCTGTAGAGGAGAACTATGGCGAATTTGTCTGGTCAGTCCAATCTCTCGTTGTGTGCTTCAAAGATGGCAAAACCTTGTTACACATTTTGTAATCATGTAAAACACTGTAAATGATGGAGAGTAAGCACGTTGCACATTGTTATTTGTACATTTAAGCTGTAACACTTAATCTATTACTGTACTAAAGATGTACATTTACCTGTCCTTTTCTCTTTTTAGCAATCAAGGAGAAATTGTGTGTGTGCTCCTGAATGAAATGTGTGACAGAGACCCCACACCTCCTCCTACTTCACCCAGCCCAATAGCCAACATCACTTTTCCTGCAACAACTACACTGTCTCCTCCAAACAACACCACTCTACAACAAAACACCACCTCCCTCCCATCGAACACAACATTACCTCCACTAAACACCACCTCTACAGCTCCAAATACTACAACATCAGCTCCAAATACTACAACATCAGCTCCAAATACTACAACATCAGCTCCAAATACTACAACATCAGCTCCAAATACTACAACATCAGCTCCAAATACTACAACATCAGCTCCAAATACTACCACATCAGCTCCAAATACTACAACATCAGCTCCAAATACTACAACATCAGCTTCAAATACTACCACATCAGCTCCAAATACTACAACATCAGCTCCAAATACTACAACATCAGCTTCAAATACTACCACATCAGCTCCAAATACTACAACATCAGCTCCAAATACTACAACATCAGCTCCAAATACTACCACATCAGCTCCTAGCACTATAGTCACAACACAAACCAACACAACGACAACCATCCAGCCCATTCATCCATCGCTAAACACCACCACAACCATGACCATTGCCACATCTACCCTGGGTAATACCACTGCAAACTCATCAACACCCATCCTTCGACCAGTGAACACCACAACAGCTGTGATAACAACCACCGCAGGTAACCACTGGCATCCTAACTCACTCTGATCTTTGATCTATACTTGTCATAGCTGCTGCTGTTACATTAATTTCCATTTAACATTTAGACCCATAGTCAAAGTTCCGCTCTGAAAACATACTTGTTTTTATTATGGATCCTTCTTCCCACAGCACACAACACCACAACAGCCAGTATTGAAGAGCAGTCCAACCAGCTGCTGGGTCTGACAAGTGACGTGTCCAAGCTCAACTCCTCCCAGGTGGACCAGCTGGTGTCCCACCTAGAGGCCCTGCTGGCTGGGCCCCAACGTCAGCCTGGCTCTGGGGAAAATCTCTGTCACGATCGTTAGCAACCTGCTGGGTGCCTCCTCTGACACCCTGGCCTCCTCCTCCACCAAGTGAGCTCCCTGGAGCTGAACAATCTACAGTTGTGCAGTTGTTCTGCCTGTTGTGCTGCCTGTTGTGCTGCCTGTTGTGCTGCCGGTTGAACTGCCGTTTGAGCTGCCTGTTGAGCTGCCTGTTGAGCTGCCTGTTGAGCTGTAGCTGAAATGATTACTTATACAAAGTCTGTAAAGAGACTGTTTCTACATTTCCTTGAAACAGAAAGAAAGCTTAGAAATGGCTTTGACTAGCCTGCACATCACAGTAACAGTTCATTTTTCTACCAGGATCATTGGGATTGTTGATACGGTGGGCCTGAAGCTGGTCGTTCAGGAAGAGGCTACGATTTTAACCAAGTCGGTCGCTCTCGCTGTCAAAACGGTGGACGGCACTAATTTCCAGAGAACATCTTTCTCCATCCCAGACCCCAACAGTGTGCAGGTATGACCTAAACCTTCCAGTAAGGAAACACTGAATAGGAAATACTGTAACCTTGGTTGCCCTCAAAATGCATGCAAATCTAATGTAAGACATCCTTCACTCTGCATGTATTATCTTTGCACAGTACAGTATGTCTGGTGTGGTCTGGTATGGGCTGGTATGTAAACTCATAACCCCTGTTTATTGCTATGTGTTAACCATATAGAAATGTGTCCCCTGTAGATCCGTGGAGACGGCAGAGCCAGGAGGAGTGTGAGAGCAGAGGCAAACTCCCTCCCTCAGGGTTCCGTCACGTTCCCCTCCTCCCTCACAGCGAACCTCTCCCCTGAGCATCAGCTACAAGCCTCCAGACTCCAGTTCAATTTCTACCAGCAGAGCACTGTGTTCCAGGTACTCCAAACCATACCATATTCCACTGTATGATCTGCTGGAGTAGAATTGAAGCGTGGCATAGTTGAAAAACCTCACACCCCAGAGGACTAGTATAGTAATTGTCCGATTCTTTCCATACTGTTCCCCAGGACCGAGCCCTGGGAGACAGCAGGCTGAATAGTGGAATCCTGGGGGCCAGTGTGGCCAACCTGTCAATCAAATCTCTGCAGGAGGACGTGGTCATCACCCTGAGGAACACTGAACCCATCCCAGTGAGTCAAACAAACACACACTGTACATTCTAGTCAAAACCTTATTAACTATGTCCAGGATGTGACTTCTTGAGAAACTATTTAATATCTGTCACCTTGTTATCTCAATGAATCCTTGACACACTGTCTTCTCTTTATCATTTGTCCACACAGGCACATTTCGTGGTGTCATGTGCTTTCTGGGACTTTGGCATGAATGGTAAGTGTTCCGCTTGTGTCAAATCAGAATCAAATGTTACTTGTCAAATGCTTCGTAAACAACAGGTGTAGACAAACAGTGAAATGCTTACTTACGAGTCCCTTTCCACCAATGCAGAGTTAAAGATACAAAATATAAAATATAAATAGTGACACGAGAAATAAATACAGAGTGAATAACGAGTAACAATAAAGAGGAAAAATAACATGTCTATGTACAGGGAGTACCAGTAAGTACCCAGTCGATGTGCAGGGGTACGAGGTAATTGAGGTAGCTATGTACATATAGGTAGGGGTAAAGTGACTAGGCAACAGGATAGATAATAGACTGAGCTGTAGCAGCAGCGTATGTGGTGGTGTGAAAGTGTATGTGTGTGTGTGAGTGTGGCGTCAGTATGCATGTGTGCGCATGTTATGGGTGTGTGGGTGTATGTGTGTGATGGGGTGTGTATGTGTTTGTGTTGGGGTGTCAGTGTAAGTGAGTGTGTTGGTAGAGACTAGTGTGTGTGTGCATAGAGTCAGTGCAAGAGAGTTAGTTAAAAAAAGGGTCAATGTACAGTGAGGGAAAAAAGTATATGATCCCCTGCTGATTTTGTAAGTTTGCCCACTGACAAAGACATGATCAGTCTATAATTTTAATGGTAGGTTTATTTGAGCAGTGAGAGACAGAATAACAACAAAAAAATCCAGAATAACACATTTCAAAAATGTTAGAAATTTATTTGCATTTTAATGAGGGAAATAAGTATTTGACCCCCTCTCAATCAGAAAGATTTCTGACTCCCAGGTGTCTTTTATACAGGTAACGAGCTGAGATTAGGAGCACACTCTTAAAGGGAGTGTTCCTAATCTCAGTTTGTTACCTGTATAAAATACACCTGTCCACAGAAGCAATCAATCAATCAGATTCCAAACTCTCCACCATGGCCAAGACCAAAGAGCTCTCCAAGGATGTCAGGGACAAGATTGTAGACCTACACAAGGCTGGAAAGGGCTACAAGACCATCTCCAAGCAGCTTGGTGAGAAGGTGACAACAGTTGGTGCGATTATTCGCAAATGGAAGAAACACAAACTAACTGTCAATCTCCCTCGGCCTGGGGCTCCATGCAAGATCTCACCTCGTGGAGTTGCAATGATCATGAGAACGGTGAGGAATCAGCCCAGAACTACATGGGAGGATCTTGTCAATGGAGGATCTTGGGACCATAGTCACCAAGAAAACAATTGGTAACACACTACGCCGTGAAGGACTGAAATCCTGCAGCGCCCGCAAGGTCCCCCTGCTCAAGAAAGCACATATACAGGCCCGTCTGAAGTTTGCCAATGAACATCTGAATGATTCAGAGGAGAACTGGGTGAAAGTGTTGTGGTCAGATGATGAGACCAAAATCGAGTTCTTTGCCATCAACTCAACCCGCCGTGTTTGGAGGAGGAGGAATGCTGCCTATGACCCCAAGAACACCATCCCCACCGTCAAACATGGAGGTGGAAACATTATGTTTTGGGGGTGTTTTTCTGCTAAGGGGACAGGACAACTTCACCGCATCAAAGGGACGATGGACGGGGACATGTACCGTCAAATCTTGGGTGAGAACCTCCTTCCCTCAGCCAGGGCATTGAAAATGGGTCGTGGATGGGTATTCCAGCATGACAATGACCCAAAAGACACGGCCAAGGCAACAAAGGAGTGGCTCAAGAAGAAGCACATTAAGGTCCTGGAGTGGCCTAGCCAGTCTCCAGACCTTAATCCCATAGAACATCTGTGGAGGGAGCTGAAGGTTCGAGTTGCCAAACGTCAGCCTCAAAACCTTAATGACTTGGAGAAGATCTGCAAAGAGGAGTGGGACAAAATCCCTCCTGAGATGTGTGCCAACCTGGTGGCCAACTACAAGAAACGTCTGACCTCTGTGATTGCCACCAAGTACTAAGTCATGTTTTGCAGAGGGGTCAAATACTGATTTCCCTCATTAAAATGCAAATCAATTTATAAATTTTTGTCATGCATTTTTCAGGATTATTTTGTTGTTATTCTGTCTCTCACTGTTCAAATAAAACGACCATTAAAATTATAGACTGATCATGTCTTTGTCAGTGGGCAAACGTACAAAATCAGCAGGGGATACTTCAAATACTTTTTTCCCTCACTGTAGGTAGTCCGAGTTGCCATTTGATTAACTATTTAGCAGCCTTGTTTAGCAGTCTTATGGCTTGGGGGTAGAAGCTGTTCAGGGTCCTGTTGGTTCCAGACTTGGTGCACTGGTACCGCTTGTCGTGCGGTAGAAGAGAGAACAGTATGACTTGGGTGACCGGAGTCTGACAATTTTTTGGGCCTTCCTCTGACACCGCCTGGCATAGAGGTCCTGGATGGCAGGGAGCTCGGTCCCCAGTGATATATGAAACGAAGACTACCTCTTACAATTAATATAATTGTTTTATTTTTTAGATGGCTCAGGAGGCTGGAACCGAGATGGCTGCTCTGTCAGGAACAGCACAGATAATGAGACTATCTGTGCCTGCAACCATCTCACCTGCTTTGGTGTGCTACTGGTGAGTCCATTCTGAGACACGGTTGTAATGTGATCTCTTCCATTCAGTCTTTGTCAACAGACTTGTTTTTAGAATGATTTAATGTGTATAACATGTTTTTGGTGTTTCTTCTGACAGGACATGTCCAGAACGGACATAACCAGTTGTCTCCAGGCCACAATCCTCAACTACATCACCTACATCGGGTGTGGCATTTCCTCCAGCTTTCTCTCCATCACTCTGCTCACCTACCTGGCCTTTGGGTGAGTCTGAGCGCAGGATATCCATGATGACACCCACTTGGAGAGCTGATCTAAATACAAAGACATATAAAAAAGCTCTAATCAATGTAATATCAATCTTAATACCTTTCAATGTGTTCCTGTAGGAAACTGCGTAAGGACATCCCATCTAAGATCCTGATCCAGCTGTGTGTGGCTCTGTTGTTTTTGAACCTGGTGTTCCTGGTGGACGGGTGGCTGGCCCTCTACCCCGACTCTGTGGGCCTCTGCATCTCCACCGCCTGGTTCCTGCACTACTTCCTGCTGGCTTCCTTCACCTGGATGGGCCTGGAGGCCGTCCACATGTACCTGGCCCTCGTCAAGGTCTTCAACACATACATACCACGTTACATGCTCAAGTTCTCGCTCCTCGGCTGGGGTAGGTGAAACAATTATTGCCTTTTTTTCATTATAGTGAAAAACAGCCACCATTTGCAAGTAAAAGTAACAGTTGCTTACAGTTCAATGTAGTCTGTTGTCTCTCATCATAGGCGTCCCACTCCTTGTGGTCATCGTCGTTATTGCTGTTGATGAGGACAACTACGGCCTTGTTGGCTACGGAAAGTACTCAGATGGCTCCCCTACAGATGACTTGTGAGTCCCTTGCATTTTGTTCACTATTTAACATGCCGATTTACAGTTGGAGTCTTTGCATAAAGTGCGTGTATGTGCATCATGAAATGTATACCGATACTCACATTTGCATAATAGGATAGCTGATACGTCTACACCTGTTGTTTACGAAGCATGTGACAAAAACAATGTTATTTGATATATCCATTTATATATGTTATATATATGTTTGTTTTATATATGTTTTATAGACTACTGTTCAAAAGTTTGGGGTCACTTAAAAATGTCCTTGTTTTCGAAAGAAAAGCAATTTTTTTGTCCATTAAAATAACATCAAATTGATTAGAAATACAGTGTAGACATTGTTAATGTTGTAAATGGCTATTGTAGCTGGAAACGGCTGATTTTTTATGGAATATCTACATAGGTGTACAGAGGCCCATTATCAGCAAACATCAGTCCTGTGTTCCAATGGCACGTTGTGTTTGCTAATCCAAGTTTATCATTTTAAAAGGCTAATTGATCATTAGAGAACCCTTTTGCAATTATGTTAGCACAGCTGAAAACTGTTGTGCTGATTAAAGAAGCAATAAAAACTGGCCTTCTTGAGACTAGTTGAGTATCTGGAGCATCAGCAATTGTGGGTTCGATTACAGGCTCAAAATGGCCAGAAACAAATAACTTTCTTCTGAAACTCGTCAGTCTATTCTTGTTCTGAGAAATGAAGGCTATTCCATGCGAGAAATTGCCAAGATACTGAAGATCTCGTACAACGCTGTGTACTACTGCCTTCACAGAACAGCGCAAACTGGCTCTAACCAGAATAGAAAGAGGAGTGGGAGGCCCCGGTGCACAACTGAGCAAGAGGACAAATACATTAGAGTGTCTAGTTTGAGAAACAGGCGCCTCACAGGTCCTCAACTGGCAGCTTCATTAAATAGTAACCACAAAACACCAGTCTCAACGTCAATAGTGAAGAGGCGACTCCGGGATGCTGACCTTCTAGGCAGAGTTACAAAGAAAAAGCCATATCTCAGACTGGCCAATAAATATAAAAGATTAAGATGGGCAGTCTGAGATATGGTGTTGTACGAGATCTTCAGTTTCTTGGCAATTTCTTGCATGGAATAGCCTTCATTTCTCAGAACAAGAATAGACTGACGAGTTTCAGAAGAAAGTTATTTGTTTCTGGCCATTTTGAGCCTGTAATCGAACCCACAATTGCTGATGCTCCAGATACTCAACTAGTCTCAAGAAGGCCAGTTTTATTGCTTCTTTAATCAGTACAACAGTTTTCAGATGTGCTAACATAATTGCAAAAGGGTTTTCTAATGATCAATTAGCCTTTTAAAATGATAAACTTGGATTAGCAAACACAACGTGCCATTGGAACACAGGACTGATGGTTGCTGATAATGGGCCTTTGTACGCCTATGTAGATATTCCATTAAAAATCAGCCGTTTCCAGCTACAATAGCCATTTACAACATTAACAATGTCTACACTGTTTTCTTTCGAAAACAAGGACATTTCTAAATGACCGGAAACTTTTGAATGGTAGTGTATATGTTATATATATGTTATACTCTATTGTAAGCCATACATCTTCTCTCCATTTTTCTCCCACAGCTGCTGGCTGAAGAACGACATTGCCTTCTACGTATCTGTTGTGGCCTATTTCTGTGTCATCTTCCTGATCAACCTCATCATGTTTGTGGTAGTGATGGTTCAGCTGTGTCGGATAAAGAGGCAGAATCCCAACAACAAGAGGCACCGTAACGCGCTGCAGGACCTGCGCAGTGTGGTTGGGATCACAGTACTCCTAGGCCTCACCTGGGGCTTTGCCTTCTTCGCCTGGGGGCCCGTCAACCTGGCCTTCATGTATTTCTTTTGCATCTTCAACTCCGTTCAAGGTGAGATTTAGAGCTCCTCCAAATTTGCCTAAATGTTCTATCCTCAGAGAGGACAAACGGCTTGTGGGGTTTCATGAGGAAGTGTGTAACCAATTGGTACTTCAAATCAAATCAAATCAAATTTTATTGGTCACATGCGCCGAATACAACAGGTGCAGACATTACAGTGAAATGCTTACTTACAGCCCTTAACCAACAAAAAATTAAACAACAACAAAAAAAGTGTTGAGAGAAAAAAGAGCAGAAGTAAAATAAAGTGACAGTAGGGAGGCTATATATACAGGGGGGTACCGTTGCAGAGTCAATGTGCGGGGGCACCGGCTAGTTGAGGTAGTTGAGGTAATATGTACATGTGGGTAGAGTTAAAGTGACTATGCATAAATAATTAACAGAGTAGCAGCAGCGTAAAAAGGATGGGGTGGGGGGGCAGTGCAAATAGTCCGGGTAGCCATGATTAGCTGTTCAGGAGTCTTATGGCTTGGGGGTAGAAGCTGTTGAGAAGTCTTTTGGACCTAGACTTGGCACTCCGGTACCGCTTGCCGTGCGGTAGCAGAGAGAACAGTCTATGACTAGGGTGGCTGGAGTCTTTGACAATTTTGAGGGCCTTCCTCTGACACCGCCTGGTATAGAGGTCCTGGATGGCAGGAAGCTTGGCCCCAGTAATGTACTGGGCCGTACGCACTACCCTCTGTAGTGCCTTGCGGTCGGAGGCCAAGCAGTTGCCATACCAGGCGGTGATGCAACCAGTCAGGATGCTCTCGATGGTGCAGCTGTAGAATTTTTTGAGGATCTGAGGACCCATGCCAAATCTTTTCAGTCTCCTGAGGGGGAATAAGCTTTGTCGTGCCCTCTTCACGACTGTCTTGGTGTGTTTGGACCATGATAGTTCGTTGGTGATGTGGACACCAAGGAACTTGAAGCTCTCAACCTGTTCCACTACAGCCCCGTCGATGAGAATGGGGGCGTGCTCAGTCCTCTTTTTTTCCCTGTAGTCCACAATCATCTCCTTTGTCTTGGTCACGTTGAGGGAGAGGTTGTTGTCCTGGCACCACACGGCCAGGTCTCTGACCTCCTCCCTATAGGCTGTCTCATCGTTGTCGGTGATCAGGCCTACCACTGTTGTGTCGTCGGCAAACTTAATGATGGTGTTGGAGTCGTGCCTGGCCATGCAGTCATGGGTGAACAGAGAGTACAGGAGGGGACTGAGCACGCACCCCTGAGGGGCCCCCGTGTTGAGGATCAGTGTGGCAGATGTGTTGTTACCTACCCTTACCACCTGGGGGCGGCCCGTCAGGAAGTCCAGGATCCAGTTGCAGAGGGAGGTGTTTAGTCCCAGGATCCTTAGCTTAGTGATGAGCTTAGAGGGCACTATGGTGTTGAATGCTGAGCTGTAGTCAATGAATAGCATTCTCACGTAGGTGTTCCTCTTGTCCAGGTGGGAAAGGGCAGTGTGGAGTGCAATAGAGATTGCATCATCTGTGGATCTGTTGGGGCGGTATGCAAATTGGAGTGGGTCTAGGGTTTCTGGGATAATGCTGTTGATGTGAGCCATGACCAGCCTTTCAAAGCACTTCATGGCTACAGACGTCAGTGCTACGGGTCGGTAGTCATTTAGGCAGGTTATCTTAGAGTCCTTGGGCACGGGGACTATGGTGGTCTGCTTGAAACATGTTGGTATTACAGACTCAGTCAGGGACATGTTGAAAATGTCAGTGAAGACACTTGCCAGTTGGTCAGCACATGCTCGGAGTACACGTCCTGGTAATCCGTCTGGCCCTGCGGCCTTGTGAATGTTGACCTGCTTAAAAGTCTTACTCACATCGGCTACGGAGAGCGTGATCACATAGTCATCCGGAACAGCTGGTGCTCTCATGCATGCTTCAGTGTTGCTTGCCTCGAAACGAGCATAGAAGTGGTTTAGCTCGTCTGGTAGGCTTGTGTCACTGGGCAGCTCGCGGCTGTGCTTCCCTTTGTAGTCTGCGATAGTTTTCAAGCCCTGCCACATCCGACGAGCGTCAGAGCCAGTGTAGTACGATTCAATCTTAGTCCTGTATTGACTCTTTGCCTGTTTGATGGTTCGTCGGAGGTCATAGCGGGATTTCTTATAAGCGTCCGGGTTAGAGTCCCGTTCCTTGAAAGCGGCAGCTCTACCCTTTAGCTCAGTGCGGATGTTTCCTGTAATCCATGGCTTCTGGTTGGGGTATGTACGTACGGTCACTGTGGGGACGACATCATCGATGCACTTATTGATGAAGCCAGTGACTAATGTGGTGTACTCCTCAATGCTGTCTGAAGAATCCCGGAACATGTTCCAGTCTGTGCTAGCAAAACAGTCCTGTAGCTTAGCATCTGCGTCATCTGACCACTTTTTTATTAACCGAGTCACTGGTGCTTCCTGCTTTAGTTTTTGCTTATAAGCAGGAATCAGGAGGATAGAGTTATGGTCAGATTTGCCAAATGGAGGGCGAGGGAGAGCTTTGTATGCGTCTCTGTGTGTGGAGTAAAGGTGGTCTAGAGTTTTTTTTCCTCTGGTTGCACATTTAACATGCTGGTAGAAATTAGGTAGAACGGATTTAAGTTTCCCTGCATTAAAGTCCCCGGCCACTAGGAGCGCTGCAACTGGATGAGCGTTTTCCTGTTGATTTATGGCCTTGTACAACTCATTCAGTGCAATCTTAATGCCAGCATTGGTTTGTGGTGGTAAATAGACAGCTATGAAAAATATAGATGAAAACTCTCTTGGTAAATAGTGTGGTCTACAGCTTATCATAAGATACTCTACCTCAGGCGAGCAAAACCTCGAGACTTCCTTAGTATTTGATTTTGTGCACCAGCTGTTGTTTACAAATATACACAGACCGCCACCCCTTGTCTTACCGGAGTCAGCCGTTCTATCCTGCCGATGTAGCGTATAGCCCGCTAGCTGTATGAAATCCATGTCATCGTTCAGCCACGACTCGGTGAAACATAAGATATTACCGTTTTTAATGTCCCGTTGGTAGGATAACCGTAATCTTAAGTCGTCCAATTTGTTCTCCAATGATTGAACGTTGGCTAATAGGATTGATGGAGCTTGTGTTCTCTTGCAGGGTTCTTTATATTTGTGTTCCACTGCGCTGTGAAGGAGAATGTGAGGAGGCAGTGGAGGACTTATCTCTGCTGTGGTAGACTGAGACTGGCAGAGAACTCAGGTAAGACCTGTTGACCTACATCTTGCAATAAAACAGTGACCTACAGTGGGGAGAACAAGTATTTGATACACTGCCGATTTCGCAGGTTTTCCTACTTACGAAGCATGTAGAGGTCTGTAATTTTTATCATAGGTACACTTCAACTGTGAGAGACGGAATCTAAAACAAAAATCCAGAAAATCACATTGTATGATTTTTAAGTAATTAATTTGCATTTTATTGCATGACATAAGTATTTGATCACCTACCAACCAGTAAGAATTCCGTCTCTCACAGACCTGTTAGTTTTTCTTTAAGAAGCCCCCCTGTTCTCCACTCATTACCTGTATTAACTGCACCTGTTTGAACTCGTTACCTGTATAAAAGACACCTGTCCACACACTCAATCAAACAGACTCCAACCTCTCCAAAATGGCCAAGACCAGAGAGCTGTGTAAGGACATCAGGGATAAAATTGTAGACCTGCATGAGGCTGGGATGGGCTACAGGACAAAAGGCAAGCATGTTGGTGAGAAGGCAACAACTGTTGGCGCAATTATTAGAAAATCGAAGAAGTTCAAGATGACGGTCAATCACCCTCGGTCTGGGGCTCCATGCAAGATCTCACCTCGTGGGGCATCAATGATCATGAGGAAGGTGAGGGATCAGCCCAGAACTACAGGGCAGGACCTGGTCAATGACCTGAAGAGAGCTGGGACCACAGTCTCAAAGAAAACCATTAGTAACACACTACGCCGTCATGGATTAAAATCCTGCAGTCCACGCAAGGTCCCACTGCTCAAGCCAGCGCATGTCCAGGCCCGTCTGAAGTTTGCCAATGACCATCTGGATGATCCAGAGGAGGAATGGGAGATGGTCATGGGGTCTGATGAGACAAAAATATAGCTTTCTGGTCTAAACTCCACTCGCCGTGTTTGGAGAAAGAAGAAGGATGAGTACAACCCCAAGAACACCATCCCAACCGTGAAGCATGGAGGTGGAAACATCATTCTTTGGGGATGCTTTTCTGCAAAGGGGACAGGACGACTGCACCGTATTGAGGGGAGGATGGATAGGGTCATGTATCGCAAGATCTTGGCCAACAACCTCCTTCCCTCAGTAAGAGCATTGAAGATGGGTCGTGGCTGGGTCTTCCAGCATGACAACGACCCGAAACACACAGCCAGGACAACTAAGGAGTGGCTCCATAAGAAGCATCTCAAGGTCCTGGAGTGGTCCTTTGGAGGGAGCTGAAAGTCCGTATTGCCCAGCAACAGCCCCGAAACCTGAAGGATCTGGAGAAGGTCTGTTTGGAGGAGTGGGCCAAAATCCCTGCTGCAGTGTGTGCAAACCTGGTCAAGACCTACAGGAAACGTATGATCTCTGTAATTGCACACAAAGGTTTCTGTACCAAATATTAAGTTCTGCTTTTATGATGTATCAAATACTTATGTTATGCAATAAAATGCAAATTAATTACTTAAAAATCATACAAAGTGATTTTCTGGATTTTTGTTTTAGATTCCGTCTCTCACAGTTGAAGTGTACCTATGATAAAAATTACAGACCTCTACATGCTTTGTAAGTAGGAAAACCTGCAAAATTGTCAGTGTATCAAATACTTGTTCTCCCCACTGTACGTGTGGTTTGTTTATGAAATCACAGTGCTCTAGGGTAAAAAAGCAGAACATTCTATGTCAACCTAAATTGAGATATTTTATGTCATTTAACTGACGTGAGGATTTCATTTCATTCTTCTTTTCTCATCACAGAGTGGAGCCGCACTGCAACACAGAAGACAGGGAAGAAGTCATTGTCAGTGACCAGAGCCACGTCCCTCCGCTCCGACAACTCCTCCCAGTTCAACCATTCCTCCATCTCCTCCTCCTTGGCCAATCACTCCTCGGAGTGGCCCAGTGGAGGAATAGGTAGGCATTGAGGGAGGGGGAATCAGGGTTTATTAACAACCAATATGGGTCAGACAACAGGATATAGGACACTGGAAGTCCATCCACCATAACTAACTGACTTTATACGTGGTCCTTCAACGCAGAGGAGTTCATCTCAGAAATACACTACATTACCAAAAATATATGGACACCTGCTGGTCGAAATCATGGGCATTAATATGGAGTTGGTCCCCTCTTTGCTGCTGTAACAGCCTCCACTCCTCTGGGAAGGCTTTCCACTAGATGTTCGAACATTGCTGCGGGGACTTGCCACCATTCAGCCACAAGAGCATTAGTGAGGCCGGGCACTGATGTTGGGCGATTAGGCCTGGCTCGCAGTCGGCATTCCAATTCATCCCAAATGTGTTCGATGGGGTTGAAGTCAGGCCAGTCAAGTGCTTCCATACCGATCTCGGCAAACCATTTCTGTATGGACCGTGCTTTGTGCACGGGGGCATTGTCATGCTGAAACAGGAAAAGGCCTTCCCCAAACTGTTGCCACAAAGTTGGAAGCACAGAATCGTCTAGAATGTCACTGTATGCTGTAGGGTTAAGATTTCCCTTCACTGGAACTAAGAGGCATAGCCCGAACTATGAAAACCAGCCCCAGACAATTACTCCTCCTCCACCAAACTTTACAGTTGGCACTATGCATTCGGGCAGGTAGCGTTCTCCTGGCATCCGCCAAACCCAGTCCGTCGGACTGCCAGATGGTGAAGTGTGATTCATCACTCCAGAAAACGCGTTTCCACTGCTCCAGAGTCCAATGGCGGCGAGCTTTACACCACTCCAACAGACGCTTGGCATTGCGCATGGTGATCTTAGGCTTGTGTGTGGCTGCTCGGCCATGGAAACCCATTTCATGAAGCTCCCAACGAACAGTTCTTGTGCTGACGTTGCTTCCAGAGGCAGTTTGGAACTCGGTAGTGAGTGTTGTAAGCGAGGACAGACAATTTTTACACGCTTCAGCACTCGGTGGTCTGTGTGCTTGTGTGGCCTACCACTTCGCGGCTGAGCCGTTGTTGCTCCTAGACGTTTACGCTTCACAATAACACACATGGCAGAACTTTTACAAACTGACTTGTTGGAAAGGTGGCATCCTATGACGGTGCCACATTTAAAGTCACTGAGCTCTTCATTAAGGCCATTCTACTACCAATGTTTGTCTATGGAGATTGCATGGCGGTGTGCACCTGTCCGTAACGGGTGTGGCTGAAATAGCTGAATCCACTAATTTGAAGGGGTGTCCACATACTTTTGTATATTTAGTGTACCCCTCTAATGATTTGGATACAGTAACTTGTGCAGAATGATCTGTAACTCTGATGTGTCCTATTGCAGGTAGTCCATTTGACGACAGAACCATCACTGCCCTAGAAGAGCCCAACTCAGACGTGTTCCTCAACGAGATAAACAGACAGTTTAGGACTCAGAGTTAGAGAGCACCCTGACACCTGTGAAATACTAGGGGCTCTATTCAACCTGTATCGCTGATGAGTTACAGATTGTGCAATAGAAATGTTACGGTAATTTCCGATTGAGCCGACATGTGCAGCATTTACCGTGAATGCAGTCTTCGCTAACGCGGGAACGTTGCCTTTAAATTTCAATCACACTGTAATGCTGAACTTCTGCGATACGGATTGAATAGAGGCTTCCAGGTAGGCTGGTGGGGGAATGGACTTACGTGACACAGTGTGTTTCATATTATTTTACTTTTGAATAATATATTATTATATTTTGTAGTTTAACTGAAGTGTGTGACAGAATACACTGAAGAGATGGGACATCACCAAAGAGCCAGCATGCTCATGGATTCCATCCGGTTGATCTAGCAATACTATCATGAACTCGTCTGGGCTAGCACCTATGATTGTGAATATAAATACATGTACTGAAAGGGTATCTAGCACAGAGAAAACCCCCATTCACAGATCCTCATGAGCTGCATCTTTTGACAGCATTCTACATACTTTATTGTTTTTCTTCACATTCTTCAGAGGCATAAGTTAAATAAAGGTTAAATAAAAAATATAATAAAAATAAGCTAATACCAACACTGTGTCACTATCTGATTTAATTTTAAAAAAAAATTACACTCCACTCAGAATCAAGATATTTTCATAAGATATATGTTAATTATATTTTTATATAATTATTATTATTCTAACATTTTAAAAATAGAATGACGAATCTGTAAAACATTATCCTAAATATAAACCATCAATTTAATTAATACCATTGGAGTTTAATATGAGGGTTTCAGCATGAAATATCCTTTATGTTTTCTTTACACACTTATTTATTTAACTATTTCAATATGTCTTTGTAAATGTTTTGGCGCCAAACTGGTGGCAGTTGTGAAAAAAGTAAATAGTTGGAAGAGTTGCAGAGTTTCAGAGTTAATTGAAAGTAATTTCATTGTTGATTAGATGCGTTTTAAATTAAATTAGGCAATTTTCTCTTGAACCATAGTCTATCCACTAGACAATATGGTCACATATAAAAAGTGATTACTATATAATAATATATATTTTTAAAGTTATTCAAGTATAAATTATCAAAGTTACCATTGCCATAGATTACCAATTAATTAATCTAGTACTTTTGGTAAATTACCAGTATGCAACCCTAATTACAATAGAAATACTCCCATGAACAGCACCACCAACTTCCCACCTGAACCCAGATTTCTAATGAAAAGCAGGTTTACTCAATAGTCTCTCTTCTTCAGTAGGGCTTGACTGTCCAAAACTCCCACAATGCACTCTGGTAGACACCAGTGGTTAAGGTCATAATCCAGTGGGTGGCAGAATACAATGGCTTGATGATGATGCTGTTGTCAATGTGAATAACCTACTAGATAATGTATGGTAGTATAGTTCTGTAGTATAGTTCTGCAGTATAATTCTGCAATATAGTTATGTAGTATAGTTATGCAGTGTAGTTCTGAAGTGTAGTTCTGTAGTATAGTTCTGTAGTTTAGTTTTTCTATTATAGTTATGCAGTGTAGTTATGTAGTGTAGTTCTGTGGTATAGTTATCTAGTACAGTTATGCAATATAGTTATGCAGTATAGTTCTGCAGTATAGTTCTGTAGTATAGCTCTGTCGATCTTTATTAGTAGAGTACACACTCAACTGGATGCAGATCTGTATGAGAACTGCAGGTAGGCTGACAGTGTGCATCTATAGCTCATGAGTATAAACTCCAGTAGATGATGTTGAACAGCAGGTAGGTCATGGGGAAGATGACTCTGGAGTAGGAGTCGATCATGTAGCTGTTGCTCATGATGAAGCTGAGGTTGTGTTTGATGGATTTTTTGCGTCGTAGCCTTGTGCCCTCTGTGGGTGGGGGCTCTGCAGCAGAGTTCCTTGACGTGGCCGTCCTACGCCGCTCTGTGTTGGGGGTATTGGGCAGCTCTGGGAAGGGCGTCAGGTCAATGTCATTGTCATGGTAACATCCGTCAAAGGCCATAGTTTGAGTGGCATTGAAATCGGCAGGGATCTGTGGAGAGAGGAGGGAATTTACAGTACATGATTTTCTGACAGTGGAATACATTAAGACCAGTAGGGGGAGATACAGACATAGTTATTGTCACAGCCTAATCTGGTGCCAATATTGTGGCTCTGACATTGTGGTAGCATGGGTATATTCCATATTTCATAATACACCCATTCACAAGAACCCAACTGTGACTTATTTCACCCATGAACTCTAAGTTTCAGTGACCTTTCCCCCCTTGAGCTTCTTCATCTCCTCCACAGTGGTGAAGTAGTTGACAGCGGCATACTCAATGACGGACAGGAAGACGAACAGAAAGCTGGCCCACAGGTAGATGTCCACAGCTTTTACATAAGACACCTGAGGCATGGAGGCTGACACGCCTGTGATGATGGTGGACATGGTCAGAACTGTGGTGATGCCTGGAGTGGGAGAGGGAGAAAGGGAGATTAGTTGATTATTAAGTTGATAAGGTATAAATCTTGATCAATCAGGGGGGGGTTTTCACCACCAAAGTTCATAATTCAATGTAGCTTACACAACCTTTCGGCCTTTGATGATAAAAAGAGGGAAAAATAATTTAGGTGTATTACTGTTTGGGGGATGAGCATAGATGGATGGAAAGTCAAACAAGGGCTAGAGGAAACCGTGTAGCAGCTACATCCCACTCGGCACAAACTGGTTGAATAAACGTTGTTTCAACGTAATTTGTCAACGTATTGTGATGTGGAATCTACGTTAAATATACATTGGATTTTTAAAAAGTCATCAACTTTTGTTTTGAGGCTGATACAGTGGGGGAAAAAAGTATTTAGTCAGCCACCAATTGTGCAAGTTCTCCCACTTAAAAAGATGAGAGAGGCCTGTAATTTTCATCATAGGTACACGTCAAGTATGAAAGACATAAAAATCCAGAAAATCACATTGTAGGATTGTTAATGAATTTATTTGCAGATTATGGTGGAAAATAAGTATTTGGTCAATAACAAAAGTTTCTCAATACTTTGTTATATACCCTTTGTTGGCAATGACACAGGTCAAACGTTTTCTGTAAGTCTTCACAAGGTTTTCACACACTGTTGCTGGTATTTTGGCCCATTCCTCCATGCAGATATCCTCTAGAGCAGTGATGTTTTGGGGCTGTCGCTGGGCAACACGGACTTTCAACTCCCTCCAAAGATTTTCTATGGGGTTGAGATCTGGAGACTGGCTAGGCCACTCCAGGACCTTGAAATGCTTCTTACGAAGCCACTCCTTCGTTGCCCGGGCGGTGTGTTTGGGATCATTGTCATGCTGAAAGACCCAGCCACGTTTCATCTTCAATGCCCTTGCTGATGGAAGGAGGTTTTCACTCAAAATCTCACGATACATGGCCCCATTCATTCTTTCCTTTACACGGATCAGTCGTCCTGGTCCCTTTGCAGAAAAACAGCCCCAAAGCATGATGTTTCCACCCCCATGCTTCACAGTAGGTATGGTGTTCTTTGGATGCAACTCAGCATTCTTTGTCCTCCAAACACGACGAGTTGAGTTTTTACCAAAAAG